CGCCGGTTCTGGAAGAAGTTTAAGATGCCCTGCTTGAAGTCGAGGGTGGATTCCTGCTACCCCGAGGAGCACTACTTTCCGACGCTCCTCGACATGCAGGACCCCGCGGGGTGCACTCGCTACACTCTAACCAGAGTTAATTGGACGGACAGCGTTGGCGGGCATCCGCACATGTACCAGCCGCCGGAGATCTCCGCAAATCTGATCAACGAGCTGCGGAAGTCCAATTCAACGTACTCGCACCTCTTTGCACGCAAGTTCTCCGCAGAGTGCCTCGACCCTTTGCTCGAGCTCGCAGACAGTGTCATCTTCCAGGATTAGCTTTAAGTGCCTAGTCTTGGTTTTGGATTTATGGATGAAGATTTGGTTCCAGGTGAATGAATTGAGGTAACGAACTGTCCTATTTTCTCCTGAAAGTTTATTTATCTGCCAGTAGTTTCTTGATGTTCATCTAATGCAATGTTTGTCGAAAAAATTGGACTTTTTCTGGGTACGAGGCACCAAGTGTAACACCTAGTTTAATATCAAACTGGAAGTGTGAAAAAGAGTTAAGAGGTAAAAATGAGTCTACCATCATTAATGTGAACATAAGCATTATTGAGCAAATAAGTTTAGTTTCATCAAGTTAATATGTCATCTGTTTTATTGGTTTGGGTTGGATCAGTGACAAATTCTACTGGAACAAAGAAGTCAAACCTTAAATGGGGCATATCCTTAATGGGCTAGATCATGACACTAAGATACTTGTATAGTTGAGCTCTTGGGATTTTGCCGAAACTGTAGTAGTCATGGAATGTCATCCTTGTGCATAGTATTAGTAGCTGTCTCTACTCTACTCAATTGTCTGGTTATTAGAAGGCTCTGGTTCTAAATCTTTGGTGGTATTTAACATGCTTTATTCCACATGAGGATCACTACTCTGTCACGAACAATTATTCAGTTATTCCACATTGTCTTGCTTAGTTGAAATTGGTACCATTACTAGATTGACCAAAATGAAAATTTGCAAGACTTGACCACCCACTTGACGTCTTCATAATCTGTGTATGAATCTGTGAGCACTCGATATTTGATATATGTTTTTTTTTTTGAAGAGTTGCATATACCTAAAAAATCTAATATTTTTTTGTTATTATCTCTCTATGTAATTTAGGTTTACCGAGAGGGTCAACAGTATTACCTGTATAAATAAAGAGACTCTTCCATGACTAGAATATTGTTTCTTGAGGTAACAAAGGAGCAACTTCATCATTGTACTAAGGTTCATTGTACCTCTATTTGTATGTTGATGGTCTTCGTAGTCAATGCTGGTTTACCCAAGTTTGTTGAATAAATGTTAACGAGTGGGGTATCTAGAGAATCTTAATATTTGGAGTCATATATATAAACACTATATTATTATTTATACAGAAAATTACAAACTTTGCAGGGACAGATATGTAAAAGGCCCTGTATCTTTCATATGTATGTTGTTTTTTAGTGCCTTTCTGTTATGATATTTCACTTTTCCATTGCTTTGGATGTCACAGTATGTAGCAGAGGATTGGTTTAGTGATTTCCTTCTGTGTATCTCATGGTTTGCCAATTCTTGTTTGGTTAAGTCAGTCATGGAGGATGTTTATATCTTTCTATTGTCGCTTTTGCAGGAATTGATGAGAGTAACTGGCTGAAGCTGATCCATCACTCCCTCTTCATTTCTGAGCACCACCAAGCCACATGTTTCTTCAAAGCAAAAAATAAGAGACTGTCAAGTGAGATAGGCTAATTAGACATCAGCATCATCATCATCATCCCATGTAACACAAGATGTAACCCAGCAATATGTGTTTAATAAACAATAATAACTGTGAAGTTCTGAGCACCATCCTTTTCCGTCTAAACTGTGTTGTTATGCCTTTTACCTTGGGCTGTTTTCTGTCCTTATCATTTTTACCAGGATGCTGTGCTAGTTCTTTCTAGAAAGTTATTGTGGCTAATGAGGCAGAAAATGGTCACAAGATGATCTTTCCTTGAAATGTTGGCAAGGAATTTTTGACTTCCACAATAATAATACTCCTTTTCTTTTATTCCATCTTGATATTGGTATGGTGAGAGTCAAAGGGAATCAACCTACTTGGCTGCCAGGCCAGTGATCTGTGTTTTCCATAAAAGATGTCTCTCCTGAAGATCCATTTTTCTCTGCCTAACTTGAGGACCTTATGAGAACCATTCCTTTTTCACATGGTGCTGGCCCCCATTCACTTCCTTTCTTTGGACATCTTGCTGGCAGTCACACTCATCCAAGTTTTCTAGACATCCAAGTGCAGAAATTAGTGATATGATGGTTTCCCTTTGGATTTAGAATAATTATGACATTATAACTGGACTTCATTTTCCTTGCAGTGCTGCCAAGTTGGGTTAGGAATTGAGGGATCAACTAACTAATAAGGATTCAGCAGAAGTTCTCACAATTTGTAGGCAGTGGATTTGCTCAGTGCAATAGACCTCAACAACAAAGCATATGATTTGGGAATTTAGTTGAGGAAAGAAATGACAGCTTCATTTTCTTGTGGTTTATACTTGAAAGATATTGTAAAGTTTCATTATCCTGTTTGGAACAGATAGAATAGGATATTGGTTGGCACATCACTAATGGTCCCTTCTGCTTGATTGACTTGGTGGTTTGCTCACCATTGATCTATTATAATGTAACTATCATTAGCACATATGATGACTATGACAACTAAGTTGTCTGTAGTTACACACTGTTCATCCAATTTAAATTTGTGATTTGGATTGATGAGTGCTTAACATGTAGAAGGCAAGAAGTCAAAGTCTAATATGTTCATTTCTATCTTTTTGGTCATTCTCAGGCACTTGAAGATCTCAGCAGACTTCAGATCCTTTTTTTTAATCTGTGATATTTTTGAACAATTATTTCATTTACTTGTTAAATTTTGACTATTATGATGAATCATGAAACTATCATGTGACAGATTCTGATGTCATGGCCTCTTGTATATTCTTTATATCCTTGCAGTCCCTAAACCTTCTAATCCTAAGAAGACACCATTGAATTGGATAAGTGACCAAACATTTCAATCTTCTTTCATCAGTTGGCCTAATCCTCACATTATATCCATAATCATTTTTTTTCTCAAGGTATTTCTTTTGACAGGATAAATGTATACCAAACACTGTATGATTTGAAATCCAATTTTTACCATCATGGATATGCAGAATGTGGATATTCCAGTGGCTTTATTGTACAAAACCAATGTATTCAGAGCATCAAACTTTGATTTGATTGAGCTCAGAGTAAAAGGTTAAATCTTCTTTCATACAAAATAAAGAGCTAATTACATATCATTCTCTATGCTTACATGTTATTAGCATTACAATTTTTATACTTAAAAAATTTACATTAAGATTCATATGATTCTAAAAATGAAACAAAAAATTTCATTTACCTTAACGTCATCATCGGATGATAAACACAACATGATTTCATTGATGTAATCATAAAATAAATCTCTGCAGCAATTGCTGCTTTTGGTCTGAGTTGAATGATAGGTTCTCAAAAATTCTAAGATGTGACACCTACATCACTCTGTAGCTAAAATGTGATTCATATTGAGAATATAAAAAACTAATATTTTAAACTATTAATTTTATAACAAAAATTAATCAACAATAATAAAATCATAAATCTCAATTATTAGAGATGCAATCTTCTGGCAAAAGATTAAGCATATAGTTCTTGTGACCGTTCTAAAATATTAATTCTTTATATTCTCAATTTGAAGCACATCAAGAACATGAAACACAAGCAAGATTACATCTCTATTAATTATTGCTGCCACCATTGCTGTTCACCACTAGGAATCATCACTATAAAATTCGCACTATCGTCATTGATCATCATGATTGTTATTGTGCACATGAATTGGAAAATGCAACCATCAAACATCATAAGGCACATTATGGATTAATATAAACATTCTCAAATCATCTTTGTTAATCCAAATACTATACATCATTTAATAGACTAACTAATAACACAACAAAATCGCCTCAATTGAGGTAATATTTAACCTCATTGATGGTATTCATATAATTTGTGTGCAACAATGCGAGAAAAAAAATTATATCATAAAAAATGATCTAAGTCAATTCTCATCGTTCCATACTAAAGCTTAATTTTTTTTTATGACACTAATAAAAATAAAAATACTAAATAAATAATAATCCATTTAATATATGATTTTTTTAAACTTATTTTTTTTAATAACACCAATTATTTTAGTTCTTTTTCCAAGGTAACATCTTTATTTTCTATAATCTTAAAAGTTCCCTCGTAAGACCAACGTCTCCTCAAGTAGCATCTCAATCTCGAGGTTAATCTTATTCTCGAGGTTATTGTTTGTAGAACTTACGACAAGATTGCTTGAGGAGGTGTCAGCTTTGCCGTATGTCGCCCTCCTCCCTTTCTCTGCTTTGTGTGGTGTGAAAACATGAGCGATGTTGATAGGGTAGAGACTATAAAAAAAAAAAAAAGGGCGAGAAAAGATATTTTTGGGATTAAAAAATAAATACTTTATTTAGGAAAAATGAAAAAGAAGAACTATTTTATAAAAATCACCCTATTATATATATATATATATTTATTTATTTAATTGCTATGATATTTATTTATTAAATGAATAAAAATGTCCCTTATATTATCAATTTCGTATGTTCTCTTTCTCCACAGTTATTCTACTACATGTAAAAGTAATAATAATACAATATAACCTATGATATTATTTTAATGTGGTTTAGGGTTTCTTTCTCTCTTTGGTCAGCCCAGGAAATGTCGTTCTTTAAAATTCGTGCAGTCACTCCCAATTCGCTGCCACTTAGAATTAAGTGTAGGGTCGAAGGATTTCCTCTCCTTTCTATCGCGGTCCGTCCCGATGATGGTTTCTTCGTCGGTTGGTGGAGGTGGGGGGTGGGAGGCCATCTGCCACCGGTCTCCCTGCCTATGCAATCGCTCGATCCTCTCGATCGAAAGGGTTCCCATCCGATGTCGTCCACCGGCGGCGGTTCCGGGCTTCGGATCGCGGCTGTGGCGAATGGATGCGGTGAAGGAGGAGGAGGAAGCGGAGGGAATTGACCACTTCGGTTGGCTGCCAGAATCCGTGCTGCTCATCGTTTTCAAGATCGTCTCCCGCCGCTTCCACGTGCTCGTCCCCCTGATCGAATGCCTCCTTGGCCACGTCGATTGCGTAATCTCTGACGAACCATCCTCCGCCTCCGGGGGCAATTCCCGCGGCGTCTTCTCCCACCGTGCCCGCATTGTGTTCGGCGGCATTGTCAAACCTTTGCAGGCCATCGGCCAGATTCTCGCCCCCCTCCGCCGCCGTTGCCACCAGACCGAGGTGCTCGCTGTCCTCCCTCTCGTCGTCAGTGGTGTCCCACCACTCCCGGTTGGACGTCGTTAAGAACCTTAATGAGATCCGTTGCCTCCGGACTGAGCTCCCTGTTGGAGAGCTCGACGTCGGCGACGGCGTCCTTTTGAAATAGATGGTCGAATTGTGGCCGACCCTCCACAGCTGCGTCTTTCTTGGCGCGTCTTCCATCATCCCCTCGTCTTCCATCTCGCCCAAATCCTTGATCGCTAACCTAATCCTAGCTTCCATGTTGCTTGTGGAGGTGATGATAGCCGTAGCATCTCGGAGTTGTACACCAATTGAAGCTTGAAGCCTAGGGTGTTTTGGATGACCAGCTCCCTGATAGCCATCTCGGCACAGCATTACCTCTGGTCGATCACTTTAGAGCACGAGACGCTGGAGAACTTAGAGCTCATGAACATGGATGGTCAGGGGGTGCTAACGACGGACCAGTATCAGCATCAACGAGTTGCCATCAAACCGTCGTTCCAGCACTCTCATCTGGAGCTTCCTGGAGGATTGGTGCTGAAGAGGGCAACACTGGTGGCCGTCAAGCCAAGCGAGGTGTGGGGTAGGGAGGTTGCCAATGATGGAGGTTGTCAACAAGCTATATGGATTTCTAATGCATTTGAAGATCCATATATACAGGTCTGCAGGGAGGATGCTTGTCAAGAAGAGGATTTTCTATCTGGAGATGAGTTCCATATCGGGTTAGAAGAGATAAACTTAAGAGGTAAATTTATAGATATTGCAACTAGTTATGCTTGTTGGAAACTATTAATTTGTTCGAACTGTTGTGTAATCGCTGAGATTTTTTCACCCTTTTTCAAAATTAACTAGACATTTGACCTTTTACAAATCTCAACAATGACAAAAGGTCCATATAGTTGATCCTAAATAGTTGGGAGGTATGACTTTATTGTTTTTGTTGTTATTGTTGTTGTTCTCAGCTTGTTATATTTGATATAGTTTGTGTCCTTATTTGTGATTCAGATTATGAAAATATTTAAAATTGATTTTTATTTTAGAGTGAACATATTAGGTAATATATTAAATTAATTAAATATAAAATTAAATTTTATTTATTTCCTTTGTGATAACTATCCTTCTATGTAGATGGCAATGTTGCCCATTTTCTTCATCACTCACCTATCATCAGAAGGGTAGGGTTGTCTTGTTGAAGATAGAGATAGGCCTTTTGTTCATTTAAATTGTAGTTATTATCATCTTTAAATATTTAGAAATAAAATTTATTTTAGTTTTAAACTAATTAAAATGAGAAAATTCATGCATTTGAATTTTTAAAACAATAATAACTAAAATTTAAATAAAGTAGCTAGCCTACCTTTCTCTTCAAGACTTCAACAAGACTATCCTCTCCCTCATTCCCTTCTCTTAATAGTCAACCGATGAGGAACATATAGACTTTATCCTCTTTAAATAAGAGGTGAGTGAGGGCTATCCTAAAGGAAATAAATAATAAATAATATTACATTAATTAATTTGATAATTAATTTAATATTTTGCCTAATATGTTCGTCCAAAATGGAAACAGATTTTAATTATTTTATTAATTTGGATTACAGAAAAGAAATAAAATTATATCAAATAAATTAAATCTTACTATGACAATTTTAGATTTTCTTTTGAAAGGGTGGGAAAATCTTGATAATTACAAGCTGGGCTTCCACTCTATAACTGTGTGTGTTTGGCAGAAGTAGGAGCTAAAGAAACAGAAGTTGTCATTGTTATACATGTATTGTAGATCATGAATGAGTATGTAGAAATTTGGGTTACAATAATCTTTTATTGAATGTTTTTATAATTCCTGTATATTTTAATATCTTTTTATAAAGTTTAAAATATCATATAGTTGTTTCCTCACTTGTGTTGGCCTAACAAGGAAGTTAATTCATAGTGAATCTAATTTTCAATTTACATGGTTAAATTAGGAACAATATAAATAAATTAATAAATCTAAAAAAATTAATGATTGATTTCTTTCCTTAGTGGGAAACTCTGTCTCCTATCCCATCTAATTATGTGTTGAGGGGTTCATGAGGGAGGAATGTCTTCGAGAGAGGTAAGTTTTCCGACTATCCTTTGTCAATATTTTTATTTTCGAATATTTTACTTTATGATATTGCTTAGATTTCTTTATTTTGAAGATTAAAAGTATGCTATTGATTTATAATTCCATTATTTAGATTAATTAATGATACATGATTCTTGTGATTAAATTCCTGTTACTTATTCCCATCTTGAATATTTGAACTATATTATTCTTGATTTCTATATAAATTTCATAATATTCATGTTTGAATTTAGATTGTTTGATATTGTAAGTTTAGGGTTTTATATTATGTTTAAATAAATAATTATGAATTTAATTATTAATGATATGATTTTATATTTATTTATTTTGTTATGTTACATGTTTTAAAATTTTAAATCGATCAGTTTAAAAATTCTATTAAAATAAAAAGGATAAAGCTGAAATTTGATTTGAGGGTTTGATCTAGCTAGAATTAGGTTTGACCTGAGTCAAACTAATTGATCGGATTGGTCTAACTTAGTCCAATAAGTTGGTCAACCCATGGGAAGCTCAATACGGTACTGTTCTCCGGCCTTCAGCGTGAGTCATTGGCTAGGCCCCATATAACATATAATCCCCGTTGGCTTGACGTGGGTTGGTGCAACCTGACCTAGTGTGACCTATAGTTTAGTGCAGCCTGTCGCTTGTGGCTCGACCCAACATGGTGTGTCTTTACGTTGCTCGAGGATTGTAGCTTGGCGTGGCATGGTCCACCTTAGTCTAGTGTGATCCAATTCCCTGGGCTTAGCAAAAACCAACGCGACCTAGCTCTTGTGGTTCGACTTAGCATGGCACGACAGCTCAAGATTGTAGCTCGACTAGGCACAATGTGGATCAACATAACCAAGCTCATGTGGCCCAACTTGCGTCACCCTTACATCCTGACGTTTGGTGCATGGTCCTTGCGACTCGGCCTGAGCTCAACCCAAACTCCCTTAGTTTGCAGCCTTTGAGGCTTAGCTAGTGGCTTGTTGCTGCCCAAACCCTATTATTGGTGGCCTCATGTTGCTCAACTCATGGTCCCTTGTGTTTTAGTTGGTTTCCTTGCATAGTGATTGAATCAGATTCGTTTGGTCGGTTCAGGTTAGTTCCGAGTGATTCCGGATTAGTTTTAATCAATTCAAGTCTGTTTAGCCTAAAATGAACCAATTCAATCCAATTAGGTTAAGTTTAGGGCAATTATAATTTGGTTCAAATCTATTGGATCAATTTATGTAGCGTTCAAGTTAATTGAGGGTTATAATAGGATTGATACCTTATGATTTTGATGTCTATCGAATTTTAAAAAAAATATTTGATATACTTGTGATGAATTTGAATGAAAGTAATGAATTTTCAATTTAAAATTGTGCCGTGTGATCAAAATAAATGATAAGGCTTGATATGATATACGAGGACTCTGTTTACTATCAAGGCCAAGTGGGCCGATACTGGTAACATGATTGTTTTTGGGTGAGCCATCAGATGTGGTGGTTAGATGATTTTTCTATCTACCATTCGGAGGAATGTGTCTCTGTTTTAGTGTATGAGGGATATTACTTCATTCATTATTGGGAATATGATATGTGTTGCTTGCTATTGGGAGAATAAAGATATGATCCCTCCATCCACTATTGAGAGAGTGCACGGGTGTCCAACCTACACAACTGAATGAAACCCGAGTCTTGTGATGACTATGATATCATTATGTGATATAATTTGATTGACATTTGCTTGATGATTGGCTCTCTTTGAGATATTGTTATATGTTTTCGGAAGATGTTTTAGAAGATCTTTACTCAAATGTGTTTTGTTAATATCTTATGTTTTTGTCGTTAGAGAGTACTCTTCAAATGTTAATTCTAGTTCCTAAGTAGAAATATTTATTTATTGCTTGCTCGAAGAGATCTAGTATTTAATGATTATTAGTGCAAGCTTATAGAACTTGTTTTACTATTTTCAGACAGTTGTTTATTTTAAGAAAACATTTGAGATTTTTGTTTGAATATAATTAATTTTTTTTAGACTGCTCTGGATTAATTTCGGTGGTAAAATTGCCATATTCTGTATTGTGAAACAAGGGTCGGATGTGACATTTTTATAATAAATATTGAAAATCCCAAAAGTATCATCAATCTAGGACCAAGAATCTGCTTAAAGTGATTCTATTTGTCTGCAAGTAGTCACCTAGTGAATTATTATTTGTCAAGTTTAAAATATTTGAGTTACATTGGTCTCCTTTTTCCCACTTTGATTGCTTTTGTTCTCTTGATCACTGTTTCATTATTTTCCAAGAGTGAGCTTAGGATAAGTTTTGCAGAAAGAACTTTTGAAACTTATTTGTTTGTACTCCGTTCTTGTTTGTGATAGTTTAGGTTGAAGATTGTTTTGATTACCAAGTTTTCAGTATTATGTGGGTCATATGTTGTTGTCTCCCTTGATGATGCTGTTTTAGCAGATAACTGGAAGGTCCACGATTCGGCTAAAATTAATTGAACAATAGATGTTCCATATATGGTGAAGGTGTTCTCTTTTTCCTACTAGATGCATTATATAACCATTATGTGATATGTTTATGGAGATATAATATGGAGGACCAAATAACTTCATTATAAGGTGGTACTCAGATGTATGGCCCTCAAGTATCACTAGCCGTGGTACTTGCTTTTAATTATTCTTTAAACTTTTTTGAGTGGTATTTATCATACAACTTATGGATTGTTGATTGCGACTTGTAAATATTTCTTTAATGTACATTGTTTTCTTCAAGAAGCTTATAGTATGTTGTTTGAGGTCTTATTATATCAAATCTTGGTGCTATAAGTTTCTTATTGAAAATGTTATTCTTACTTTATATGTTATATATGATATGAAATTCTTTCTTTTTTGTGTTGCCATATGGTGTACAGCTGTTAAGATTGTTGTGATGCTGATACTGAAGACACTTTGCTTGGGTTACTTGTTTCAGATAGCATGAACAACAAGCATCTCATGTTTGTTCATAAGTGTTGACATCTGGTCTATAATTCAATGCTACATGAAGACATATGATCGGTAAGGCAATTACTAAATGAAGATTAAGTGTCTCCACTAAAATTAGGGTGGCAATTCACAATTTAATGCCAGATGTTCAATAGGCAAGTGTCTGTTTTTGTCAGAAGTGCTAACTTATACCTGTGTAACCTTCAAGTCTTTTTATATCAAATCTTGGTGCTATAAGTTTCTTATGGAAAATGTTATTCTTACTTTATGTATCACATATGATATGAAATTCTTTCGTTTTTTTGTGTTGCCACATGCTGATCAGCAATTAAGATTGTTGTGATGCTGATGACACTTTGCTTTATTACTTGTTTCAGATACCATGAACAACATGCATATCATGTTTTTTCTTTTTGTTTTGCTCAAGTTTTCATATATGATCAATAAGTCAGTACTAAATAAAGATTGAGGGTGGCAATTCACAATTTAATGGCAGATGTTCTACAGGCAATGGTCTGTTTTTGTCTTGTATCATAAGTGACTCTGTAACATGAGTGTGCATTGATCTATCGGAAATTAAGATGTTGACTTTTGGTCAAATCAATTTTATCATATGTTTACTTTTTATTATTTGTGTGCAGAGAGGGGTGCTTAGCAAAAGTCATCTCATCGAAACGTGTCGGATATGTGCGCTTCGTTTTCCATTGCCGTGTTATCACATTTTGCTACAAGTCAATTGGGCTCGGTAAGCATTAAAGAAGGCAACAGGAACGTCCACCCGTTCGTTCCCCATTGTTGAGCCGGTCATCCCTCCCCGGCCGCCAGCCATATTCGACCCAAAGGTTACATACAACGCCCCGCGCCTGCTATAGTCGCCGACGTCGACTCTTCCATCGAGAGGATACAGGCGATGAAGCCATGGATCAAGATCCTGGTCATGGCGCTCGCCGGCGCCGTCGTCTTCCTCTTCCTTCCCCTCCTGTTCTGGTGTCGTCTGCGTCGGCGACTGGTTCCCCGGACCGCGGAAGCGAGTCCTCCTCAGAGCCTGCAATCCGGGATCGCCAGGCTTCAGCTCGCCCACGGATCGAACACCAGCGGAAAGGTGGGTCGTCTCTTCCACCACCACCTCCACCACCGCCCGAGCCAAGGCCAGGACCAGGACCAGGTGCCGACACCTTTCTGTTGGAACGACCATCCCGGGCTCGTGGTGGAGGCGGTGGAGAACGGGTGGTCGCGGTTCGTGTTCGCGGCCGGGCGATCGCCGGACCACTTGCACCCCCGCTGCGCCCCGGTCTGGGGCCTGTGCGTCGTCTGCGACGGGGAGAGCGACTCCGTGGAGACGAGCTGGGAGGTGCCCGTCGGATCGGCGGACTTCCTGCAAACGGTTCGGCTCAATCCGAGGGCGCGGAGGAGCGGCAGCACTGGTAGCAGTCCACTCCTCCACGGCGAATCTATCTCCATCGCGAGGATGCTTCTCCCCTTGCCCGGCCCGTCTCTGCGCGTCTCCTCCTTTCCGCAAGATGCCTACTTCGAGATCACCATCTTGTACCTGAAACCACACCAACAGCAGCAATCGTCTTCTCGCGCCAGCAGGAGGGCCAAAGCCGACGCCGGCGGCGAGAGCGAACGCGCGAAGCTGATCGCCGGCAAATTCTTGGAATCCCCGTCCGACGCCACGGCCCATGACACCGTCACTCCCACTGTAATCGACATCAACAGTCCAAACCACGGATCCAAATCCACCAAAGAGGAGGGAGGCAAACAGAGACACAGCAGTCTTCTCTCCTTGGGCCTCACCCATGGCGGTTCGCTTCCCAGTCGACCATCGCCCGGGACGTATCGGGGATCCATCGGCTTCCACTCCGACGGCTCTCTCCATCTCGACGGTAAGAGAACCCATCTGCGTTTCTCCGCATCCTATTGATGAGGACAATTAATTGGGGGATCAGTTCATGCAACGCGCATTCACGTTTCAGGAATGAAGCTGGTGTTCGAGTCGGAGAAGGCCGAGTGGGCAGAGGTGAACAGGGTGATCGGCTGCGGCTTCGACCCCAGCAAGAAGAAGGTCTTCTTCACGGTGGACTCGGAGCTGAAACACGTCATCCACTGCAACTCCGACACGTACAAGGCCCCGCTGTTCCCGCTGATCTCAGCAAACGCCGACGCCATGTTGCTGGTCAATCTGGGCCAGAGCAAGTTCAAGTACGAGCCGGCAAACGCACGTCGAACGCCGAATCCCTGCTTCATCCGCTCCTCCTCGGTCGACGGTGGCGCCAGCACCATCGGCTACGAGGACAGCCGCGAGCTGTTCTCGATGGGGAGGATCGACTCCGAGTGGGTTGATGCGGTCAAGAAGAGCCAGAGCAGCAGCAGCAGCAAGAAGAGCAACGTGAACTACAACAACGACGGCAGCACCGTCATCGATGTGGATGCCGATTCTGATCTCTTCGAGATCTCCCTGCACATTTGACAGATCATGTTGTGGTTAGAAAAATGTTCGACTCCAGCGGTGGAAGCAGACGTCATTGGATTGCTTGGTGCTGGTGACGCCGGCCATTGCAGGTGTGTGATGGAGAGAGAAAAGATAGCAACAGGGAGAGTCGCATATCGCGTCTGTTGTTGCACTAATGATTCAGGACGCAAGAAAACGAGAGTGCTTTCTTGCGAAGATAGGACTGACATCATTCATCTGTGCGTGCTAATTTAGTCTCCTGTTCATAAAAATAACACAGTTGCTGTTGCAGTACGAGCGGAGTGTTTCAACTCCATCTTGTTGATGGCCTTCTTTTTTTCTTTGTTTGTTTGTTGTTGATCAATACACTTTGTAATTTTTGTTGATGAGTTCATCAAGATGATAATTTTGTACAAGTTGGGTTATTAGAAACAATAAAAGAAAACCCATTAGAATACGACGATCAATGAGGATAGAGAAAAGTTAAAGATAAACCAAGGGAATGATTAGTTAGAGCTATCATGATCATGAAAGGAAGGTGAATTATAATTGATACTAGGAATATGAGGTCTATGAGGTCCCATCAGCTCTATGTCGGTAGAGTGGACTATGTTGTCATCGCATGACAATATTAATTGAGACTCCTTGCTTTTAAGTAATGTTTGATAAATTCTATATATTTTTTTTCTGTAATTCTTTAGAACTAGTGAAATTATTCATCTTTAAATGTCAAGTTTGAGGTTTTTTTCAATTGTAAACGTCGATATTCATATCTTAATGAGATAATATGCCCAAAGCATTTATCAATAATATATACGTATATATGTATGCTCAGTGCATAAGACTCATACTAATGTAGGGTCTACGAAAGCTAATGACTCGAACTTGATTTTTAAATCGTAAAAAAATAATCTTATTTCTTGTTTGACGGCACAGAAAATCAATTAAATTCATAACAAACAATAAAGAAATATGATTTATCAAAATTATTAAAGTGAATGATGTATTGTGATTATCCTTTAGCTTTAGCAGTGGGGCCATTGGAACTGGCTAAGGCTCTACCTAATTCCTTACCTACAGCTCAAAAGTTGGCTTTGGTGGAGGCACCATAGCATGGCTTGCATAAAGTTTATGGACTTACAATATGGTAAGTTGCCATTAGTCTTTGGTGATAACTCTGTTGAAGTGACTATTGACATTCTAACAGAAGCACCCACCAAACTTTAACTATTGTAGTTACAGTTTGAGAACCATAAATTAAGATGTTTTTGACACTTGAATAGAAACAATTCAAGGTTAAGGATCAGCTCATCAATCCATGCAAAGTAAATATTGAGTATAGAGAAGCAGAGGATCTATGAATGGAAGATAAATTATGAGTATAATGCCTTCTTCTTGCCCCCTTTTTTTTTTTTTATATTATGCTACTACTTTCTACCTTCGACTGTTTAATAAGGTATATAA